ATGGGACGAAGAAAAGATGCCAGAAGAATGGCACAAAGGACAAATTATCACAATCCATAAAAAAGGAGACCAACAAATGTGTAATAATTATAGAGGACTGACATTATTAAACACAGCGTATAAAATCATGTCAACCTTAATACAACGAAGACTGGCCAAAGCGACAACAAATATCATGGGACAGTATCAATGCGGATTTATTAGGGGAAAGTCAACAATAGATGCCATACATACGGTAAAGCAAATTATGGAGAAAGCTTATGGATATAAAATAGAAATTGAACTGCTTTTTATAGACTTCCAACAAGCATTTGATTTAATAAACAGAGCGAAATTACTTACAGCTATGAGAGAAATGAGAATACACAACAAATTAAGACGATTAATAAAAACGACAATGAGCAAAACCGTAGTAACTGTAAAAACACAAAAAGAAGACACAGAAGAATTTGTTATAAATAAAGGTGTACGTCAAGGAGATTCATTATCTGCAACTCTGTTTAATCTTGCCCTGGAAAATATAGTCAGAAAAATCAACAAAGGTACACTTAGAACAAGAGAGGGACAAATAATAGGATATGCCGACGATATTGTGATAATAACAAAGAACAGAAAAAAATGGAAAGTATGTTAAAAGAATTGGTAGCAGAAGGAAAAGTAATGGGATTAGTAATAAATCAAGAAAAAACAAAAATAATGAGATTTGACAAAAAATATGAAAACAAAAAGGTTAGACTGGAAGAATATATATTTGAAGAAGTAGAAAAGTTTAAGTATTTGCGAATATTATTAGCAAACAATGGAGAAAGGGAAACAGAAATTAAAGAAAGGATAATTACAGCAAATAAGACATACTATGCAAATAAAAAGCTTTTAAAAAAATAAATTACTGAGCAAAAAATCGAAAATGAAAATATATAAAACAATAATTCGACTGACTATGATGTATGCTGCCGAAACCCTTAGCATGACAAAAAAACAAGAGGAAGACCTTAGAATACTAGAAAGGAAAATACTAAGAGCAATATTAGGACCAATATAAATTAATGAAAACCAATATAGACAAAGAACGAATCATGAACTACTATACGAAATTAAAGAGGATATAGTTTGTAAAATAAAACAGCAAAGGGCAAAATGGCTAGGACATATATGGAGATCAGGACCATCTACGACAATATTCTCAATATTGGAATGGACACCAGCTGGTAAACGAAGACGTGGAAGACCAAGATCTACATGGCTACAAGAAGTAACAAACGATCTCAACAGGGCGGGCGTACGACAATGGAGAGAAAAAACCAGAGATAGGAAACAGTGGAGAAAAATAACAAGAAAAATTAAATAAAGAAAATGAGGACTGATATACCTCGTAAAATAGATCTGGAGAGCTTAAGCGGCGTAACCCCGTACGGGGTGTTTAGCCACAATATATATATATATATATATATATATATATATATATATATATATATATATATATATATATATCATTTTCTGCATTTGGGTATGCCTTAAAAAAACTATATTATATTGTTGAATCACTCAAATCAGTTTGTTTTTTACTATATTGTAAATATGAAGGACATTTGTGTTTCTCTAAAATTTCTTTCATGAAATAACCTCCTACATATACAAAACCATTTTTTTCGCTTATGTTTAAATTGTTATAGTCTCTAGATTCTATTTTCAGAGATTTGAAAATATTTGGCTCAGGTATGAGTATCTGACATCTTTCAATTAGGTACTTCTGGTGTTATATTGGTCAAAATTGTATCAAATTCATCAAAGACAATTTGTACCTTCAGAATTATTAAAATAACTAACCGCAAACATTTTTTTGAATGCTCTTTGAAACTGAATTGGTATTGGATTCCGGTAATTTCCACTTTGCTGTCTGATTTTACCAAATAAATTCTCAAGACAATCCTGGTTCAATTGCCTGGTGAAAATTTGGTTAATTTGCCTGGCCTTCAATACATCCCATAACCCTAGCAAAGATGATGTGGTTAACCTCCAGCCAAATGTAAATTTTATTCTTTTTGTTACATCTCTGTTGCCTTTAAGAACTGTCAAAGTATTAAAAAATTCTGACATTTCCTTCAGAAATTTTATTTGTATAGAGGTTCCCATAAAAGTCCTATTAAAACATTTGGCTTTACTGAAAATTAATAGAGTTCATTAAGTCAAAAAGTTTGTCTATTTTTTCTATAAATTCTGCAGTTTTTGTAGCTGGTGCTGGCAGTTTTTGGAAAGAAATGTAGGCATTGATTGCTGCTGCCAATGTTGCAATAAAAACTTGTGCTGCATATATTTAACTTTCATTTTTTGAAAATTCGTTGGAAAAATATGACAATCTGTAATCTTTGGGACCAAACGAAATTTTTGTTGTTTGTCTAAGGCATAAAATGTCTCCAAATATTTTTTTTATCAGTAAGACCACTGTCAAATTTAAAATTATACTTGAAAAAGTTATTTCTAGTTGATTTCAAAAAATGAGGTACATCTGTTAGGTATATAAAATTTTTTGTCAGAGTCACAAATAAAATAGGGTTTATCTACTAGGGTTTATCACAATTTTTTTTTTATTATTTAATTTTTCAAGTTGATAAAAAGTTGTTACTACCATCGTAGATCTACCAAAAAAAAATCTTTTTGAATTCCAACAATATTTAAGTCTCACGGAATGTACAGAAAGTTTATAATTTTTTGTAAAAAAATACGTTTTTGAAAAAATAATTTACACAGTTTATAAATTACAAATGATGTAATCAAGTTAAAAGTGTGTATTTTTACATTTAATTTGTCCCTAGTAAACATTTTGGTTCTAAGTTAAATTATTTAGGTAACCTGGAATTACCCTAATTATATCACAATTTTTATATTTAATTCAGGTTTAACATGAATCAGAAACAGTAAAAAAATTCTAATACAATCATTACAGTGCTGGATTTTAATTCAATGGGTCAAATGATGATGGGATGATGATTCTCGCAGGTATTGACCAAGCAGAGACTAAAAAAAATTTAAAAACGAAACGAACGGAAGGAAAAGTCCCTGCAATCTAAATTAAGTAGGAATGTGTAACTAACTACTCCACCTGATTTAATAAATGTGGATATTCTTAGTATTGACTCTAATGATGAATCCATGGAAGAAGAATCAAGTAGGCCTGACGAAAAATTCAAGGTTCTAAAATAACTTCTCTAAGAAACAAAATTGAACGTCCAAGCGTGAAAGTAAAACAAGGCCTGCCAGTGAATCTGTCATTGTTTTCTAGGGCATGTGATCGCAGAGTCATTTCGAACAGAGCAAGTGCTTAACTAGCAAGTGCTCTTCTACAACATTTGAATGTCATATCACCAGAAAACTAAGCCGCAGTTATTGACAAGTCCGAGATTTTTCGTGAAAGGTTAAAGTAACGCAGAAGTATTAATGCCTCTCGCACAAACAAAATAATTGCTTTTTACTTCGATGGTAGGAAGGATGAAACCATAATCAAAGAAATTGTACGTGGGAAATCTGTCCGTAAAACCATACAAGTAGAACACATATCTTAGGTCGAGGAACTAGGTTCAGCATATTTCGCTTATGTCTCATGTCGGTCATGTCAACTCCAAACAGTGGATCTGGGAAAGATATAGTATCATCAATATTAAGTTACATGAGTGATAACTCCATTGATAACTCAAATATCAAATCGCTTGGATGTGATGGTACGGCAACGAATACTGGAACATCGCAAGGAGCAGTTTTGTTGTTTGAACGCGCATTGAAACATCCGGTCCAAGTAGTAATATGTATGTTGCACTTAAACGAATTGCCTCTGAGGAAAGTTTTTGTTGCTCTTGACGGTCCAACCATAGGACCAACATCATTCAGTGGGCCAATAGGCAAAGGTTTGACCAACTGCCAAGACTTTCCGGTTGTTAATTATGACAAAATAGATAGCACCTTCCCAGAAGTCGATAGTAAAGACTTAAGTACGGACCAGAAATACCTTTGGGATATATGTCAGACTGTAGTCAAAGGTGAATGTTCCTCTGAGTTGACCAGTAGAAACCCCGGAAACTTGTCCCACGCCGGGTGGCTGACATTAGCAAATAGAATCTTACGTCTGTATATTTCAACTATTAAACCAACCCCACAACTTAGAAAGCTTGCTGAGTTCGTCATGAAAGTCTATGCTACCTCATGGTTTACCATAAAATGTCGTCCTAAAATTATTCACGCATCACAACACTTTTTCTTCATCGTGCAGTGCACCAAGTTTTTAGACAGTGAACTGAAGGCTGTGGCTCAGTCTTCCTTGCAAATAAACGCCTTTATGGCTCATCCTGAACACATCCTTTGAGGGATGTTGTTTGACTCTCGAAAACATATAAGAGCTTTGGCTGGCAAATGGATAGAAAAAGCTCGACAGAGGGCACAAGGGCACATCCAGTCTTCAAACCACCACGAGTTAATTTTGAGGCAGTAGACTACCTCGATCTCATTGACTGGCAATCCACCACAGTTAAAGAACCACCACTTATAGCTGACTTCAGCAAAGAAGAGATTGGGATGATTGTTAATTCATGAAACAGTGGTAGAAAAGAGTTCAAAATACCACTTCATACTCAAGCGGTAGAACGAGTTGTTAAGGAAGTTACTGAAGCTTCTAAGCACGTTTGTGGCGTTCAAGAACGAGAAGGCTTTATAAGATCAAGATTATTGGGCAGAAAGTATCTTCCTAAGTTTGAAACTAAGCGACAGTACACATCTGCTACAGCTGTATTGCAAAAATAAATTACAGGTAAGATTTATTTCATACTTATTTAGGATTACATCACAGCATTCTATTTTGAATAGTTACTTAGTATTAGTATTATAATTACAATCTGACACTTGCCCTAACAAATTTCCTTTGTCCCGATCGAAGAAGCATTACAATACTTGTAGCTTTGAAGGCTAACTTAATTTGTTTAGCAACATCCTTTAAGATTAAATAAAGAACCATTTTAAAGATTTTTCTTTGTGAACTTTTTATCTGTAGTCTTTAAACAGTCTTTTATTGTTTTAACATAAAATATCCTAAAGTTTAAATAAGTAAATATGTAATTTATTGTTCATTAATTATGTTATAGAATGCTAATAATCCTACTAACCTAAGTAGAAGCAACAGACAGGTTTAACACTTAATCGTTAATCATAATAAAGAGAAGATATTGATTTCTCGTTGTTACAATTGAGATTTTCATAAAGATTCCGGGTGACTTTATTCTTAGTTACAGATATTATCCTAATTTTTATTGTTCACTGTTATCACGTACTTAATATTTTTTAAGTTGACAATAAAAATATAAAATTTAATTTTCGTTAAAAAAAAGATGAAATCGTGTTTTTGAGAAAAAAATCTATAGTTTAAGTTGATTCCGGGAGACCTAAATATGTTTTAATTAAAACAAAACTTTTTTTCCATGAAAGAGTAACGTAAGAGGCAACTTTTTATCAACTTGAAAGTTTGAATTTGGAAAATTCATTATTTGAGTATTTATTATGATACACCCTATTATCCACTAATATATTAAGCTCTTTAATTAAGCTGCAAAAAATACTGCCATGGTCTGATATAACCGAAGAAACATTCATCCCAACATCTTTCAATTTTCTAATTTTTGCAAAAAGAATAGTTTTTGAGTCATAAACTGGACAACTTGAATTTACAAAAAAATAAGCAATTGGCTGTTTCCAGTTTTGATTAATACCTCTAGCCATCAACACCAAAACATTTTGAGCAGGTTTAAATGACTTTTTTAACAGAGTTTCATGAAATCCAACAATCTCATCCTGAGCTATATTATAAAATAATTGAGATTTTAGAGACATTTCATCCAGGCATAAAATGCAATCTCTGAAAGTGTTGGGTAGCATTTTAGCTTTCATTTTAAGAGCGTCAAATAAAAATTGGTTGAACCCAGGCCTTATATTCCATTTGGCAGTAATCCTTTGTAATGTACTCTTTGAAGACAATCGAAATATTTTTGAGAGAAACTTGTAGACTTTAGGCCCCAAAAAGTGTACTGTTAATGCAAACTGCTTAAAATCATTAGAATTATTTGATCCTTTTGGTGTTTTCTTTGACAAGGATAACTGCATCTTTAAAAACTTAGCTAAGTTGGCTGTAACATTTTCTTGGAGAAATCGAGAAACCCTTTCCATTGTTAGATTATGATCTTCTCTTGTGTCTCTAGCTTGAGGGATATTTAATTTCCTTCGAAGGTTTTTTATTGTTTTTCTCAAGCGGGCTTTCCTGGGAGTTCCAAATGACAAATTTGTTGGCGTTTGGCTGCCTAAAAAATAGTCTTGATTTGAATGCTGTTAATAAGTAAGTAAGTAGTTAAAAAATAAGTAAATTTTCATTAAAACGAGGAAACAATTGATTTACCAGGGTTTCTACTATCAAATATTCTAATAAGAAGTTGGAGGCACTAATCGATTATTAGATTCGTCACAAATATGAAGAAGTGAATGCCATTATATATATTGGCCTTACCTTTTGATTTGTGACCTATCTCTTGATATATCTGAAGATATATTTGGTGTCGTTGGTGAGAAAACACACTCTCCAACATTTTCAGCATCTGAAAATTATAAATAAAAAATTCATTATCAAGAAACTAATGTTTTAGTGAATCCATTAACTTATCTTTCTGTTCTTAATGTATGTAAAAACTAATTTTGGATATCCCCATAAAAAACCTATTGAAAGATTTGGTTTTACTGAATTTTAAATTCATCAAATTGAAAATTTGGCTTGTTTTTTTCTATATATGTTATAAACAACGGTTTTAACACTCTTATTGGAAGTTTTTGTATATATATAAAATGCCACCGAAAGTTTTTCTCAGTAAGACCATTGTTAAATTTCAAAATATTATTTGCAAAAGTTATTTCATGTTGACTACAATAAATGAGATACATCTTCCATATAAAAATTGTTGTCAGAGTCACAATTAATTTTAATAATATATCATAAAAACATTTTAAATTAAAAAAATTTAATTATTGTCATTCACATAATTTAATACCACCCTACATTCTTGTGCTAGTGTTCTAGTCCTTCTATATAATAGCCTAGACCCCATTTTAGACTCCACACTCATTAGTCCATATTGTCAGATATTTATGAAGGGGGCAACCTACAGAATCTTCAAATTTCAGTTATTAAAAGTGAGTCTATTTAGTTAAAAAAAAAACAATTTAAAAATCTGCCAGATAAGCATATTGAAAGTATAATTAGAAAAGCTATTAAAGATATAAAGATCATGAGATCCTTTAGTATTGTTCTGAAGCTATCTTCTTGTGGCATTTTAAATTAATTACTATTTAACTGGAAATAAGCCACAATTAAAGATAAAAATACGTTTATTGACGTTTCAATTTCCACTTCGGAAATCGTTCTCAAAATACAAACAGTATATTACACAAATTTTATTTTTTGTTACATAGTGAAAAATTCTTCTAATAATTTAATTTTATCTGACTCATTTATATTGACAATTCAGACATACATTATGCATTTTAAAGTAGACGACTTTAAAATGATATTGCCAATATTGTTGAATTGCGCTCCTGGGACGACTTTACTTATAAGATAGTTCATTCGATTACATGAAATCAACTTTTACTTGAGAATATCCGTAAGAAATGTAATTCGTCTTTAAAAAGACAAACACATGACATGATGACAGTAAAATTCTGCAGTTAGTGATTCCATAGTAAATTATGAGGGAAAAACCAGAAAAAAAACCTCATAATACTATCCGGACATGGTAAGTATTTGTTGGTTTATTTAGTTTACCTTCAATAAACACCAACATTCTGATTTTATATGTTTCGATATTTAAAAATGATGTATCCTCTATATGTTACTCACTTATTAATACTGGTATTTTCTTATTAATAACTTCCTCTTTCAATATTGGTAACCAGATCCTACTACATTCTGCCAAGGAATTTGCGACACAATTGACCTCATTTAGCATAATTAGAGCCGCTTTTTTGATTTTTCTTTTTTTACCATCCGTTTCTTTTAGGACTACATTTGAATTATTCCATTGAACCCTATGTTCATTATCCCATGCGTGTTTACATATTTGAGATCTATCAAATTCTATATTTTTAAAATAAGACTGATGTTCACTTATTCTAACATTTAATTTCCTTGATGTTTCACCTAAATAAAACTGATCATATATGAACTGTACATAAAAGGATTATCAGAAAAACTTAAGAGGATAGGAAATAAATTCAACATTTCAACAACATTCAAAACAACAAACACGTTGAGATCTATTATGTCAAAAACTAAACCTAACAATGAATAAGAAAGGACAAAGAATTGCATTTATAAAATACCTTGTGAATGCGATCAGTTTTATTTACGTGAAACATCAAAGCCATTAAATGTTAGAATAAGTGAACATCAATCTTATATTAAAAATGGAGAATTTGATAGATCTCAAATATGTAAACACGCATGCGATAATGAACATAGGGTTCAATGGAATAATTCAAATGTAGTCCTAAAAGAAACGGATGGTAAAAAAGGGAAAAATCAAAGAAGCGGCTCTAATTATGCTAAATGAGGTCAATTGTGTCGCAAATTCCTCGGCAGAATGTAGTAGGATCTGGTTACCAATATTGAAAGAGGAAGTTATTAATAAGAAAATACTAGTATTATAACGTTTTTTTTCCTGGTTTTTCCCTCATAATTTACTATGGAATCACTAATTTGAGAATTTTACTGTCATCATGTCATGTGTTTGTCTTTTAAAGACGAATTACATGCTATGATTTTTTTCTGACGGATATTCTCAAGTTAAAGTTGATTTCATGTAATCGAATAAACTATCTCATAAGTAAAGTCGTTCCAGGAGTGCAACTCAACAATATTGGCAATATCATTTTAAAGTCGTCTACTTTAAAATGCATAATGTATGTCTGAATTGTCGATATAAATGAGTCAGATAAAATTAAATTATTAGAAGAATTATGTCCAAAACTAAACCGAACAATGAACAAGAAAGGACAAAGAATTGCATTTATAAAATACCTTGTGAATGCGATCAGTTTTATTTGGGTGAAACATCAAAGCCAATAAATGTTAGAATAAGTGAACATCAATCTTATATTAAAAATAGAGAATTTGATGGATCTCAAATATGTAAACATGCATAGAATAATGAACATGGGGTTCAATGGATTAATTCAAATGTAGTCCTAAAAGAAACGGATGGTAAAAAAAGAAAAATCAAAGAAGCGGCTGTAATTATGCTAAATGAGGTCAATTGTGTCGCAAATTCCTTGGCAGAATGTAGTAGGATGTGGTTACCAATATTGAAAGAGGAAGTTATTAATAAGAAAATGCCAGTATAAGTAAGTCAGTAACATATGAAGGATACATCATTTATGTTTTTTAAATAACGAAACATATAAAATCAGAATTTTGGTGTTTATTGAAGGTAAACTAAATAAACGAACAAATACTTACCATGTCGGGATAGTATTATGAGGTTTTTTTCTCTCATAATTAGTATGGAACTACTAACAGGAGAATTTTACTGTCATCGTGTCATGTGTCTGTCTTCTTAAAAACGAATTACATGCTATGATTTTTTTCTGATGGCTATTCTCAAGTTAAAGTTGATTTCATGTAATCGAAAGAACTATCTTATAAGTAAAGTCGTCTCAGGAGCGCAACTCAACAATATTGGCAGTATCATTTTAAAGTCGTCTATTTTAAAATGCATAATGTATGTCTGAGTTGTCAATATAAATAAGTCAGATAAAACTAAATTATTAGAAGAATTTTTCACTATGTAACAAAAAACAAAATTTGTTTAATTTACTGTTTGTATTTTGAGAACGATTACCGAAGTGGAAATTGAAACGTCAATAAACGTATTTTTATCTTTAATTGTGGCTTATTCCCAGTTAAATAGTAATTAATGAGATCCTTTTACAGAACTTGGTGTAGAGCAGACCCATCTACTCTTCTTCAAGCATATTACAGCCTAATAAATTTCATCTAGATTTTTAAAGTAGCTTCAAAAAATCAGCATATAAATTATTATTAGCCATCAAAGCTGCAAACAACGAAACCTTTGAATATTACATAACAAATCTTACAGCAAATGACCAGACGTTATGGAAGGCCACTAAGAAGCTAAAGAAACCATACACAACCATTCCTCCTATCCGTAAACCAAATGGCGAATGGGCCTGTTCCAACAAAGAAAAAGCTGACGTTTTTGCTGAACATCTGACAAACGTATTTCAAACAGAGCCGGCAGACCCTGATGAAGAAGTGGAAGAACTAATTAGCGCAGCATGTCAAATGTCCCTCCCAATTAAAAGTTTTACTCCTATAGAAGTTAGGAAAGAAATAAACAAACTCAATTCACGAAAGGCCCCAGGTTATGATTTAATCTCGGCACAAGTACTAAAACAACTTCCTCGTAAGGCCATAACTTTGCTAACAGTTATATTTAACCGCATGCTAAGCTTATCATACTCTCCAAAAATATGGAAATTTTCTGAAGTCATTATGATCCTCAAGCCAGGAAAAAAACCCAATGAAGTAACATCTTATCGACCTATCAGCCTGCTCCCAACCGTAAGCAAAGTTTTTGAAAGATTGCTACTTCAAAGAATATACGCAGATCATGAATTCCTTACATTACTTCCAAAACATCAGTTTGGTTTTCGGGAAAATCACTCCACTACCCAATAAGTTCATCGAATGATAAATGAAATATCAAAAAGTCTTGAAGAAAAGAAATACTGCAACGCTGTATTTCTAGACATCTCACAAGCGTTTGACAAAGTTTGGCACAGAGGTCTGCTTTACAAAGTAAAAATAGCACTATCCAGTAACTATTTCCTCCTACTTAAATCCTACATATCAAATAGATATTTCTCTGTAAAATTCAAAGACCAACAATCCAACCTCTGTCCTATCAACTCCGGAGTCCCGCAGGGTAGTGTTCTAGGGCCGCTGCTTTTCTCACTCTACACAGCCGATACACCAGAGACCAATAATACTACAATCGCTTCTTTTGCTGACGACGTAGCAATACTAGCCGTAAATGAAGATCCCATACAAGCCTCACAAAACCTGCAACATCATCTGAACATACTCAGTGATTGGTATACAAAATGGAGAACAAAAGTAAATAAAACAAAATCAACTCAAATAACATTTACCAACCGTCACAATATATGCCCACCTGTAAGGATGGAAAATATAAGAATACCAACAGTAACAGACGCTAAATACCTTGGCCTCCATCTTGACCAACGACTCACTTGGAAGAAACATATCCAGACCAAAAGAAAGCAGCTCGACTTAAAATTCCGACAAATGTATTGGCTTCTTGGACGTAAATCAAAACTTAACATCCAAAACAAAATTCTTCTATACAAAGCCATACTCAAACCTATCTGGTTCTACGGACTACACCTATGGGGCTGTGCAAAACCAACGTCGCTGAATATTATCCAAAGATTCCAGTCTAAAGTACTAAGATCGATAGTGGATGCGCCATGGTACGTAAGTAACCAAACACTCCATAATGACTTAAAGGTTCCTTTCATCAGAGAAGAAATTCATCAAGCCACGGAGTCACAAAATGAACGTACCATTCACCACGAAAATGAGCTAGTAAGGGAACTATACAACAATGGACCAGCCACAAGAAGATTACATAGAACCTGGCCTCAAGACCTTCTTCAGAACTAAACCAAAGTAGAATAAGGTGAGACATCATTGGATGTCTCCCCTTCACGCGCAAAACCTGTCATCACATTTACTTAATACTCTTTTTTTGATGTAGATTATAAATAAACATAATTATAAAAAAAAAAATATATAAATTATTAAAAAGTTAAACCCAGTCCAATTTCAAGCTTTAAGCGTAGAAAAAGGCTATATGAAATCTACGCAGACAAATGCTATAGAAGTCAAAACAGATGAATGATTTCTAGAGTTTAGATACAGATAGTTATGTATCTACCAAATGCATGACCAAAATTTATAATTTACCATAAATATCCAACAATTAATCTCAAAAATATATGCATACCTTCAATACTATACATCATAGATTCCGCAGAGGTACTTGCTACTGCCTGCAATTCCTCTACAGCTAATGTCCCTAGAAAGAATAACATATGTATCATATTAAGTAAAATATATTAAAATCATATTGAAATTATATTGATCAGAAGCATTGAATTGATCATAAAGGATTTTTTTAATTCAATTATTCTTATTCGCATAATTTAATACCAGATAATGTGACCCTACTCTCTTATGCTAGTGCCTAGTTCAACTATATAAAGCCTAAGCCCCATTTTGAACTCCACTCCAATTAACCCTTATTGTCAGATATTCATGAAGGGTGAAACCTCCACAATCTTAAAATTTCGGTTAATAAAAGTAAGACTATTTAGTTTAAAAAAAAATAATTTAACAACCCATCATATAAGAATATTGAAAATATAATTGGAAAATCTATTAAAGGTACAAATATCATGGGATCTATTTGCAGAACTTGGTGTAGAGCAGACTCATTTACTCTTTTTTAAGCCATTACAGCTTAGTAAGACCCATCTAGATTTTTGAAGTATCTTCATAAAACCAGCACATAAACAATTAAAAAGTTAGACTCCAATTTCAAGCATTAAGCTTAGGAAGAGACTGTATGAAATCTATCCAGACAAATGCTCTACTAGCCAAAATAGATAAATTATTTCTAGAGTTTAGATTTGGATAGTTATCTACCAAGTTCATCACCAAAATTTGCAATTTCCCACAAATATCCATTAATTAGTTTTAAAAATATATGCATACCTTGAATTCTATATGTCAATGATTCCGGAGTACTCGCAAATGTTTGTAACTTCTCCACAGGTGTGCCTAAAAAATTAAAAAAATTAGTTTTATTATTATTAACCTGAAAGAAAGAACATACCTTGAACTGGAATGTTTAATCTCACAAGATGAATAGATGGTTTTGCGTCTTTTTTCAACCTGCTTTTTAGCATTCCTGCAAAGGCCGGTTCCTTAAAATGTAAACTACATATTCTAAAGTGATAATAACAGTATTGAGCACTGTAGATGGCAAGTTTTTCACATTGAACAATTTTCTTCCATTCTGCAAACCCAAAAATACAACACCGATGATGATGTCAATGATATTAAATAGAGAATTTAGTTCTTACCGATTTTCATTCTTGGGAAACCTGAAGAAACTCAAGTTCAAGTTGTTATGGTCTCTGGAATTTTTTCTACATATACAGCAAGAATAAACTCTTTTGGATGAATTTATTATAATCCGTTGTTTAAAATAATAAAACCACTTAGAAAACTGAAGAAATATTACAGTAATATGTATTAAATACGAAATAAACTTATAAAACCAACAATACAACAACAAATAAATAAAATTTATATATAAATTACTAAAATAACTGTAGTTTCACAGCATAAACACAAACACGTGTTTGGGTAAAATCAATGTTGTCAAATGTAATCAATTAATGGATAGATACTTATGATTAATTATTTGAAAATAGATTAAGTCAATTAGGCAATATGATTTTTTAAACTTTAGAAGTGTGTATAGTTGGTATGTGAAGAATTTTACCATTTATGAAATTTATTTTCCTCTTTTTGAAGAACTTCTATAATAATTATTTTATTATAAATTTGAAATATTCTTTGAAACTGATGGAATATTTTAAATCTTGCAATAGCGACATTTTTCGCCAAATCCATTGCGCACGGTGTGGCACGGTTCTAGGAGTGGATTCCAAATTGGAACCGTGAAAATGCGAGGGTGAACCTACTGATTATAGTGGCCTAGCTATACTCTCTCTCAGTTAATATTAGAGATATATTGCATAGTCACTTTTGCACTTGCTGTATTACAGCATTCGTTATTTTGACAGTAGAGCATGCGCAGATGTGATATTTGGCTTACGCTGCGATATTGAAAATAGGGAGTTTGTGTAACTACCTAACGTAACGTTTCTCCCTATAGGTAAAGAACTTACGTATCGACGAAAATTAAGGTTAAATTGAGAGTTTTTGTTCTGCACGTAACGTAACGATGGTGTTGCCCTCATCGAATTAGTGATAAACTAATAAGTTGACAGCGTCAGTAGTCTCAGTGTCAGTCTTGTCCTTGTCACTTATCGCTAAACAAATATTTTTTTGAACAATTTTTAATTTTGGAGATGGACGCAATATTAAATGTAGGTGCCTTTATTGATGATGAAGAAGACGAAGACTTAGAAGATGCGCTTCTTCTCCACATCTTGCACGATGAAGAGCAATTAGGAAATAGAGCAATTCTATATGGCCGCTTTAGTTTAGATAACATGTCTGATATAGAATGTAAAAATCTTTTTCGCTTTGCCAAAAATGATATACCGAGGCTTACTAGGGCTCTTGTTTTACCAGATATTTTACAAATTGAAAATGTCACGTTTGTATCAGGTAAGGTTCACTGCTGCAGTCTACACAATTTTTTAAGTTTGATGAGTCAAATCAGTGTAATTTGTTTTAGGAATCGATGTACTCTGTTGCGACGATTTACGTTCCCTAACAGACTTTCAGATCTAGAGCCTCTTTTTGGATTTTCCGGATCTATTTTATCACAAGTGTGTACATACACTTTAAACATAATTGCAGAAAATAAAGGTCACATACGAGTGGATTTAGGGAATGTTCCACATTTAAACTATGAAAAATTAAGTGAATATTCTCATGTTAGTATAAAAACGTTCTTATAAACAATGGAAGTTTTTAATATAATTAACTTTTAAGCTATAAGAAACATGGGATGTCCACTTGATAATTGTTGGGGGTTTATAGATGGTACAGTCAGACCAATTTGCAGACCTAGCATTAACCAACAACTTTATTACTCTGGACATAAAAGGCTCCATTGCCTTAAGTTTCAATCTGTCCTCTCTCCAGATGGAATTATTATTAGTTTAAAAGGTGCTTTTGAAGGCCGGCGGCATGACTCAGGCACCCTTAGAGAATCTGGATTATATGAAGAACTGGAGCAAAATATCACATTTCCAAACCATCGGTTTTATTTGTATGGAGATCAGGCATATGGTTTGAGAGAGTAATTACTTAGACCTTATACTGAACATGAAATTAGAGGAAATCAACAGAGGCAAAAGTTTAACACAGCCATGAGGGGGCTTCGTGTAGCAGTAGAATGGGATTTTGGTAAAGTGATACAGAACTTTGAATTTCTAGATTTAAAAAAAAAAGAAAATTCTCCTTTAAGAAATAGGGAAGATGTATAGTATAGGAGTGCTATTAACAAATTGTCACAAATGTCATTATGGTGGAGAAATACCATAAAATTTTGGCATAGATCCTCCATCATTAGAAGAGTATTTGGGTGCAAATAATTAAAGTATGTATTTTTTAATAATCAAACAAAATATTTTTTAAATGAAATGAGGTTGAATGCTCGAATAAATGAACTTTGAAAATAAGGCTATTATCGAGCACAAGTTAATTAAATCAAGCCCAAGTACTTTCGCTTAAAAAAGCATCTTCAGGGGCATCTGAAATAAGCCAAGAAAACGTTTTTTAGATGAAGTAAATTAGTTAACTTCGATAAAAAACTCGAAGTTAATGGATGAAAAAAAGTTTTTGAGATTAACGTTTTAGACTTACTTCGTCAAAATAAGAACTATCCGGCAAGCGTAGGATGTGGAAACATTAAAACTAACATAAATTATACAAAACACTACACTAAAACGAGGACAAACAGTTTAAAATTAGACAAAATTACTTCTACGCTACATTCTCTGTCAGTTTCTGGAGGGATAATGATCTAAGCGGAAATGATACGGTGACATATGACATATGACAACTTTGATAGGCAATCAAAGTTATGGATCTGTGCTCAACAAATATTGAAATTCTGTATAAGTTGTCATTGGCCAAAGGTCCAACTAGAACTACTACTGAAAAATCAGCTGATGACGTATGACATGTAGAATATTTTGATTTAAACTAGATTGCATAATCCAGATCTCACACTCACACCCGTCTATAATATTAAGGTTGTAGGTTTGAGGCTAAATGAAGTGTACATAAAGTGTGAATGAAAGAAATAGACCAAACGATCTATTGGACAGTGGGTAGTTGACTACAATAAAATGGTCTACCTTACACTGTCAATATTGCAAAATGAGAAGAAAATTGACTATAAAATTGAAATATTAAAATTAGATCAGAATTGAAAGCAGTGTGTAAATGGTTATAGTTAAAGTAGTTCAGTTAAACCTCAAGCCAATGGGGAACTATAAAACTAATATGTAATAGCATTACTAAAGACCAACCGACCAACAGGTGTTGAAATATAAACTGTGGAATTAGTATATATAAGTTATGCAGAGATATGAAGAGTGAAATCAACTCCAACTGTGGATCAATTGAATCTGAGCAAGCTAGTTGTGTAAATTGTTAAATACAATAGTACTGCTGAACAGAGCTTGAAATTGGTAGATTCTTAATGTATAGACTCAGTGCAGGAAGTCTAGACAGCCGAGCTGGGTCCACTACGAGGTGAAGCTGTAATAAAGTTTTTAAAAATAGGTTTAAATTTAGTACAGTTTAAATTAATTTGAGTATTAAGACAATGAGAGTTTCCATTCGTTTCCTTTGTGATCTCCAAATCTTCCAATAGATCCAACTCCAAATAATTTTTCTTTCTACTGATGTCATGCAAAATAGATGACCCAGTATTGATGTTGAAATTGTGTTTGGTAGACTCTAAATGTTGACCAAAACTTGAAGAGTTTGGTCTTTTTAAATGTTCTGATATTCTAGTAGATAGCTTTCTAATGGTTCTGCCTACATAAGAGGCATCACAATCATCACACTTTAATTTGTAAATACCACTTTTGTCAAGTGTGTTCAACCTGTCTTTAGTGTTAATTAAAAAGGAACCTACAGTGTTGTGTGACTTAAAGGAAATTTTGATGTTTTCAACTGTAGAAGTAAAAAGTTTGGCTATTTTATTAGAAATGTTACTAATATAAGTAAAAGAGAAATATCTGATATTGTTAGAAGCATTTTGCTGGGGAAGACTTTGTGATGAATATGCAAGCTTTTCTGTAATTTTGAGTTTAGCTCTATTTAGAAGCTTATGGATAATGTTGGGATCATAACCATTATTTAAAGCAATTTGTTTGAGAGTGTTGAGTTCTACATTAAAGTTATCATTTGAAAGTGGAAATTTAAGTAATCTGTGAATATAACTATTGAAAGCTGCCATTTTATGTTGGGTTGGATGGTTGGATGTCTCATGTATAACATGATCTGTTTGGGTGGGCTTTCTGTAAATATTGTACTCAAGAGAATCTTTATTGCGAGATATAGTCATGTCCAAGAAGTTCAACTTATTATCAGATTCTGGTTCCAAAGTAAAAGAGATGTTGGGATGAAGGTTATTAAGATCTTCCAGAATCTGTAAAGCATCATCTTGGGATCCTTGTATCAGAGCTATACAATCATCAACGTACCTTGACCAAAAAATTATTTTGTTGTTGTTGTTAACAAATTTCTGTTCTAAGCTGTCCAAAAAAATATCAGCTAAAAAAGGTGATAATGGAGAACCCATTGCTAAACCTGTAGGTTGTTTGTATATTTTTTGGTTAAATTGGAAGAAGTCTTGATCAAGACAGAATTTGAGCATAGTTGAGATAGCATCTCTGTCTTTGGCCGGTATGTTGTAATTGTTTAAAAGGTTGTGTACTAAAGGTAATGTTTCATCTCTTGGTACAGAAGTAAACAAATTGGAAACATCAAAGGAAACCAAATAAAAACTCTCTTCTATTTTGATGTTATGTAAACGTTCTATTAGATCTAAAGAATTTGTAATGGAGAACTTAGGTTTAAAATTAATAATAGATTGGATTGTGTTATAAACAAACTCTGACAATATAGAAACTGGAGTGTTGCAAAAACTTACAACAGGCCTAATGGGACAATTGTGTTTGTGAATTTTAGGAAGTCCATATAACCTAGGTGTTATAGGGTTAGATACAATTAACTTTCTGTTGTTATATTTAGAGATAGTATCATTAAACAATTTAACCATTGCTTTTGTTTTAT